AATTTATTTAGATATTCTGTTTGTATTTTCAAATGAAAAAGAATTTAAATATTCTGTTGAAAAAGAGTTTTTAACTTGAATATATTTTTTGAATTAAAAAAATATATATATTATTTATCTATATTTTTTGGTTTTTAAATCTAACTCTAAAAATAATAAATAAAAAAGATAATATATGTTGGTTGGTTTTTGTTTTCAAAAATAAATATAGATGTAACAATACATAGGCATACAATCTCTACTACTGCTCTGTTCATAATTTTGGTGGTTTGAATTGTTTTTGTATTTTAAGAACCACAGATTATAATAATTTATGTGGATGAGGCATGCTGTGCTTGTAATATGTGGATGATGTATGCAGTGATTGTAATACTTTTTTAAGTCATTGACTGTAATATTTTTTCTTTTTTTTTTTAGGAAGTGTATAAGTTAAATTATGTTGAAAATTTATAAAATTTTAAACCGCCAAACCGATTTGCATTCATCTGCCAATCCACCAATCTGCTCAATCCACATCCGCCAGATTGATGGACAGATGCGGATTGATTTCCTCAAATCTGCCAAACTGGCAGAATGGCGTATTGGAGATTCTGTGGCCGCAACCGATCTGCGCCCATCCCTAGTGGCAGATCTGATCAATAGGGTTGCGAGGGCTAACGGTGTGACAGATCTTGTGATTAGGGATGGTGAATGATCAGAAAGAGGGGTACCTAGAAAGGAGCCACACCACTGATGGCTACGGTGGCAGGTAGTGAGCGAAAAAGGAGTAAGAAGTGTATGTGATTTGCTGCAATTTCGGTGTTGGATTAAGGCAGAGTTGGCGGTGCCATTGATGAGTGGTGTAAGCTGGTACGAACGAGAACTGAAAAACATAAAAAATCAAGCATAAATAAAAAAAAAAAAATTATATAGATTAGTAAAACAAAATTGAATTGATATATATATATATATATAGAGAGAGAGAGAGAGAGATGGACATATGGAAGAGCTGGGGCTGATCTAGGAGATTAGGGCAGTTGGAATAGGTGATCAGCTGCGAAATTTGACCGTCGATGTTGGGCATATTTTTTATATCCAATGAGTAAGTGAAGGAAATGAAAATGGTGGGCGGTGAAAGAAATTAGTTTAGCAAACGGTGATGGACGGTATGCGTAGATTGTGACACGGAATGAAATTCAGAATTTAAATTGATGTAATTAAAAATTTAGGGTTTAATTTGAAAAACACATGAAACCTTAAAAAAAATTTCTTTTTCTTTTGTAATTTGCACTATTATTTTTAAAGAATTATTTTTTATATAAAATATTTTATTTTTTTATGATGACGATGGCAGTGGCAATGGTGGTGGTAGTGGATGAGGAGGTGATGTTGGTATGTAGTGTGTCGATGGTGGTGGTGGTGATAGTGACAGCCGAGCAGTGATAGTGGTAGTAATGGTGATATGTCGGCTCGACGGTGGTGGTGGTGGAAGAGTGATAATGGTAGATGAGAAGGCGTATTGTTATTATTTTGAGGGCGTTATAATAGTGGTGGAAGTAGTGAGACGGTGGTGAAGTGGCGATGGTGAAGGTGGATTGGTGGTAGAAATTGTGTCCATTTAGACAAACTTAAATAGATAACCATGTCCAATCCAAGTTTAATTGGGTTGCTCGTTGGTAATGGAATGGCGGTGGTGGTAGAGGTGGTAATAGAGGTTGATTGGTGGTAAAAGTGTTGTCCATTTTGACCAATTTAAATAGGTATTCATATTTAATTCATATAAAACCAATTTTAATTAGGTTCACTATAAAAAATACATTTAAACCCATTTATTGATTTGGACAGGTTTACATAGGTTTCTATAGGTGTTGATTTTTGACATCACAACTAAACAGATCTCTCTACCGTGCTCTAAGGAGCTTAGCTGGAGAGCATATTATAGAATAGATTAAGCCAACGCCTACACACAAGAAGATAAGAAATACCACGATGGCCCATCCACACGAGGGCACTCCGACGATCAAGTCAGTAAACTTATCTCACAAGATAACTACTCAAATAAATAGCTCACCAAATAAAATATACCTTAGACCCACAAGGGTGCTCTCTTTATATAATGATTAGTGCTTAACTTCCCTTAGTAGTCTTACTTCATGGGACTCTATCATTTACAAAGATAACATCTATCATAACTCACACTATTTAGATTAAGATGAACTTCCTCAAGAGTCTCATCTCTATCCAAATAGGTAGCTTGATGTCATCTAGGACTCATCCTCTATCTGAATATCTTGGATTTCGATATGGTACCACCATATCTTAGCAACTTAGTTCATCTACATGACACCTTGGCTAACAATCTCGGCTACGTGAACAACCCTAAAAATATGCCCCCACAACTACTCCTAGGTTCTATTACCTAGGCAAACTGAGGTGATGGAACCTATGTTGTCTGACCTCTCAACATGTCGGCTTAACAACATGTTAGAAGATGCTCTCTGACCGAGATCATGACTCGTCGATGTTAGGAAACCAGAACTAAGTGTTTACTTATCAGGAACGAAGAACCAACATCTCATCCGAGATCGCACGACTAGCCGAGATTGTGACTTGCTAGTTCAAGAACATCAAGATTCAAAATCTATCACCTCAAAACAAACTCAACCATTATACCAACATCATGATTGTCACCTCCTCATTGGTTATATCGTCTTCGACTTGATCTCCTTGTCCAATGTTGGCCATCTATTTTTACTAAGTTCCCACAGAAGGCGCCAAATCACTACAAGAAATTGCATTTCTCGCAACGCAACAAAATATGTTGCTAAAAGGGAAAACTCGTTGGCAAAAAATTTCGTCGGCACATAGAGCTACGTCGGCAACCCATAGGTAAAAGTGAGTTGGCAAAAACTTTTTGCTGACGAAATTATCATTACGTTAGTAAAAGTAATACCTCTAGCAACAAACATAATCATCGATAAAAGCCTTCATCCATCGTCGGCAATTTACCTTGCATCGATAAAAGTGGTTCAAATATGATGATTGTGTGGCACTTTTCCCGACACAAATTTGCATGGGAAAAAAATATACTTTTAGCAACAAAATATGAGTCGGCAAAAGTACACTTTTGACAACACATTTATGTTGGTAAATGTTGCCATTTGCCAACGATTTGTTTCTCGATAAAGCTTTACTTTTGGCAACGACAAATTGGCATTGACAAAAAATACACTTCTAGCAACACAATATGAGTGGGCAAAAATAAATTTTTGGCAACACATTTATCGACAAATTGTTTGTTGATAAAGATTTACTTTTTAGCAATGACAAATTTGCAGTGGAAAAAATAATTGAAAATCATTTATATTTTTTTATAAGATTTACAGATTTACAAGTGACATCTCAGGCACCAATATTACAAACTAATAACATTGATATGAAATCATCTAAAATTGATGTGTAGGCAAAAAAACACTGTTGATACTACTTTTAGAAGCAGTGTATAAAACTTAAAAGGCTAAACTCATTAAAATACCCAAATACATCCAAATTGTGAACCCACGGTAGAAACAACAAATAACAAAATGAAAACATAAAACTAACAAAGACAGACAAAACGGTATGACAATCACCTACAAACGTACAACAACCCAAATGTCTATTGCGCATTGACTACCTCGGCTTCCCTAAGCCCTTTTCTTGTCTTTTAACCTTCGCATCAAACACTGCATACTATTTCTTGATCTCAATCATTCATTTCTCTAAAAATGAATCAACCTGGTCCTCGTATTTCTCATACTGTACAGGCACCGTGTGTAGCAATACGAAAGATGTTTCATCAATCACAATAATTAAGACTAGGTATAGTCTATAAACAAAAACCTACATTTGATATATCAAAAAAAAAATTGTTGTCATTACATATATAGAGCAATGTCAAGAAATTGCAGCAATTTTCCAAAATTGAAGATATCCACAAAGCAACAATCACCTATTCACCAAAACAGTCTCTCAGAAGACAATAATTAAACACACACATGCACGGATTGAGCATCACCCTTGGCATACAAAATATAGCAATTGGTTTAGACCAACTAACGAATTCCAACATCAACAGGCATTAGGAATCAAATTCATTTGGCAAATAGACCAAAGAAAGGCCCAGCTAAGAAGCATGGACACTTTAAAAAAAGTTAAAATAACTTGGAATCCAATTATAAAATAAATACAATGTAAATTTATATTTTGAAAATATGCAAGGCACATGAAATCAAAAAAATTACTTAAAAAATTGAACTCAAACACCATCCAAGTCTCCAGTGTTAGCATCACTAGTGTTGTTACCAAATAAATCAATTACCAAAAAAACAAATGTTTGATTCCTAAAAAAAATAACATTATATATTTGAAAATAACATTATATGTTTATGTGCTAACAATATATATATATATATATATATTTGAAAATGATTTACGCAGAGAACTAAAAAATAAACAATAAATCATACCTTATTGTGGGCCATCTGGGGAAACAAGAATCCCTCTCCCATGAGGCACACATCTGGAGAAGCAATAAGCATTTACAAGACTCTAAATAAAGACCACTACTACAAATTTGCAGCAGACCAGCATCTAGTTGCAACTGCCTCACAGCAACATTGCAGCAGTAGCCCAGTACGCATCAGCCACCAAGGCAGCAGTAGCAGCAGCAAACCAGCAACAACTGCAGCAAACTAGCAAGCAATAGCCATGAGCCACCAACAACATCAATCCAGCAGGGCAGCACCATTGCTCTAGCAGCAATCCAACATCAACTAGCAGACCAACTACCAAACAAGACCAGCACCTCCCAGCAGCATCTAAAAATATAACACTGGCAGGGCAATGACAGACAGAAACTACAAAAAACCATTTAGCAAGAAGCCATCCCAAAAGAAGCCCATGTACAGCTCACATGGGAGAGCAAACCAAAATAAAACAATATCAAACACAAGTACCAACATCTGGAAGGAGCCTCGATGGATCAATAATTTTTCAGTAGATATTGAGAACCAATAGAAAATACATACACAAAATCAGCAATACTTACAAATCTAGTGGCTCAAAACAAATAACTTAGTATTCCCTCAATGTAGCACAAATATGCTGGTCCACTTTACCCAGCAACTAATTCAATCCCACTTCACAGCAGTGGAGACTAATTTAACAAATCTAGTACACACAAAATCTTCACATAATGAAATGTAAATGTGAGTCAAAGGATATGAGTCTCATCCTTTTATCAAACAACTATGTCGTATTCCGTAAAAAACTTATTACTGAAGGTTTGGAGGGCTGCTGTTGGCTGCAGAGACTCTTGATCGCCATTCAAGCAGCTCTGTGCTAGTGTCATCCTTGTGGACTATCACTTCTATGAAGCACAAGCAATCTTTCTTTGCACCCGTGGCTGTCTTAATTGCTTCAGTGAGCTCTTATTCACATCACACCTAAAACAATGAAATTCAACAAAAGATTCTCACAATCATTAATCATTGTCCCATTTGGATGCATTAAAGCAAACACGTTGAGATTTTCTGACTCACCTTAGTTGTCCAACACTTGCCTTCACCATTGTGGATTGCATCAACCAAGCCAATGTAGTTCCAGTTCTTGATCACATTGTAAGGCCCATCATGGATTTCGACTTCTATGGTGTATCAACCATTGTTTATCAGGAAGATGATGCTCTTTTGTCCGCATCGCAGTATTGTCGACGCATCTTGTGCTGTCACCTACCAAAGCATTTGCCAAAAAAAGTGTTAAAACTCACACAAAATCCATGTATGCATTCTCAACTGTACAAAATCCATGTGGCTACTTTATGATTTTGCCCTTCAAATGCCTATTTTCAAGCATAAATGCTCAAAAAAAAAAAAAACATTTGAGCTTAATTTGAAAGCTGGGAGTCTCATCATTGTTCTGTGGGTTACAAGTTACTTTTTTTTATGCTTACCAAGGTGTTCATACTGATTTCTAGGCATTTTGTGACGATTTCTTGATTTTTCCCTCTAAATGCCAATTTCTAAGTGAAGTATTTAAAAAATGTAAGTTTGAGCTTAATTTTAAAATAGGGAATCTTGTATTGTTCTATGAGTTTGTACAAGTTATTTTTATCTTCACTAAGTTTTCGTATTGATTCATGACCATTTTTGTGGCTATTGCATGATTTTCCCTCCAAATGCTTACTTTCAATCAAGACTATCCGTTTGGGAAGTAGGTTGGCTTTTTGGATTTTTTGGCTATTTTAGCCTGGGCTAAAAAGCTTGGTTTGGGAATGGCTTTTTGCCTTTTTTGGCTTTTTATGTGAGAGAAGAGTGTAATGATTATGGATTGAATGTGATGTTTTGTTTTTTGTGGCTAAAATAGTCTATTTTGTCTTTTGTGGCTAAAATAGCCAAAAAAGCCTAGAACAGCTCTTCCCAAACGGACTCGCAAGTTTGAGCTTAATTTTAAAACCCAGACCCATGGGCTTACTTCATGACTTTCTACAATTTACTTTTATCCTTACTAAGATGTTCCTATTGATTCCCAAGTATTTCCATAGCTATTTCACAATTATGCCCTTAAAATGCCTATTTTCAAGCTTAAGGTGTCATGTTTTACAATGCTTAAGGCCTTAAACCCTATTGGCTCTGTTTTAGAGTCAAGCTAAAGCACCAAACAATACTTAAGACCTAAACCAACAACATCAAACCTGCTATATAAGCACCACAAATTAGCACCCAAAGACAACAACCAAACCAACTTATTTAATTGTAGGTTGTTGACACGTGTTATTCAAGTTAAATAAAATACATCAATTTAATTAGGTATTAAATTTGCCTCTATTTGAACGTATTGAATTTAAATTACGTTCGTAGAATTCACTAATGTCATTTCGAGTAATTGAGGTGGCAGGCATTGGAACAAATTTCTCTAGCATATAAAGCAACAAGATCAAGATTTGATAATTGTAGAGTTGATTCTATAATCTTGTCAATACATGCAAGTGTACTATCAATCTGCATTTGTATAGACACATGTAATTTCATAAATAAGATTAAGGACAATAGAACAAAAAAGATTGATAAATATTGTCAGAGACATAGATTGGTTACATCGATTTGACACCAGAAGTTTGCATCTAGCTCATAATATTTTGGAGTCAAAGAAACATACTAGTGAATTAGTGATAAAGTTTGTCTCTTCCACGAAACGCTAACACTTTCTGTCTTCATTGCATACTCTTTCACACTATCAACTTGTTCATTTATTGACATCAAGTTCTACATGGCATGCTGGCACTTTTCTTTCATAAGCTTCTGACAAGTAGAAAACAGTTGCTCTACAATTGCAATGGGCGTTTCAAGCTTAAGCTTCATTCTTTTAATTCCTGTACTTGTTGACCCATCTAAAAAGCTATATAAAAAATTTGGCAAGCAACCAACAGAGCAAAGCAAAAAAATAAACAAATAAAATACAAGCAACAACCTAATAAGACAAACAAAAAATAAAAATAAAACACCCCTACTGCTACAGATTTTGCTTCAACTTTACAAAACACACAAGCAATATTAGCACTCCCATTTATGATACAAATATTCTGCAGATACACAGTAGTTTTAAGCTTTTGCCTCCAAGCTAACCACACAAAGGATTTGACTTTGGGTGGAGAGACATTATACCAAATTATTTTAGCAATAACTCCAATGTCATTGGGATAAAGATTGAATTCATACCATCTATACACCGATGAAACACTAAAACAACTAGAGTTTTCTGCCTTCCAATATAAAGCATCCTCCTTATTAGATCTAAGTGCACAAGCAGAGAGTAACATGTTAACTAGACTGACCATATCCTCCTTTTCCCAGTCCCTCAACTCTCTACAGAAGCCCTGTACTCCAATCAAGTAAATCACTTCTAAGGTTAAGTACCTACTTTACTAATTTGCGCCTATCAATTGAGAGTATACAACCTTGGAAACACCTCCTTTAGACACCTATCGTTAATCCATTTATTTTTCCAAAACAAAGTCCTAAACCTATTTCCAATCTGTATTTGAGTATTGGTCACAAAAAAAAATTAGAAAGTTCAGGTCTTAAGCTCCCCACTAATAAGATGTCCTTCTAGATCCTAGATTGGGCATCAGATCCCTTAACAGGTGGGTACCACCTACTCCCTTGGAGATTGTACTTACCACAAGCTATTTCATTCCATAACCCCTTATCTTCATTGCCAAATCTCCACTACCACTTAAGAGTTGATCTCATCACATTTTAAAAAAAAAAAATTAAAAAAGAAGAAGAAGAAGAAGTTAAAAATAGTTGCATCATTCCTTTTGCATACTTAAAAATGTCTTTGATTGGGTTAATGCTTTCAATTTTTTAGAAAAAATTTGTGCTGCCTTTGAATCTCCAATCCAAGTAATCATACAAAGATCCCAAAGGAAAACCAAAAAAAATTATATTCTGAAAAAAAAAATTCAAAAAGAATTTAGATTTTAAATAGTTGAAGTTTAAAGCAGAGAAATAAATTGAAATGTTGGATTCCAATATTTGGTTTAACTATTGCCTACAAAGCCCCAAGTAAATCTTAAGATTTGTCTGGAGTTTAAGTTAGCATATAGAACACATGCACCTTGTACATAGTGAAGCTTTTTGTAACCATTTCCTATGATTTCATAATAGTAACTAAATTTTCAAAAAATCAGATTACTAACCCGACAACCAAAAAAAATAAAAAAATAAAAAATAAAAAAGGTCTTTAATTTAACATATTGAACCTTTACAAGAGGATGTCTGAAACAATTTCATCATGCAAACTTCCATGATCCAACCAAGGAGTAAGAAGTAGTGCCTCTAAGGTGTGGAGGAATCCAAGTAGCTAATTGCACTAATGTAAAGATAAGATCAATCAATTTCAAGTAGATAGCCTCAAATAACCAACTCACTTATGTCATTATTACAATTGATGATGAAAAATTAAATTAATTAATTTTTATCCCCACAAATATATTCATTGATAGCACTAACATCCTAGTATAACCATCTTCTAGGCCTTTGTTTTATTGAATTTTATGATGATGAAGTAATAATTTGTTCCCATTGTATGTTGGGCCTTGCATCAACATGTTTAGAATTGTTTTACAATGTATACTTGTTTTGGAGAAAAGTGAACAGGTGCATTTGAACCAACTGTCAACATTGTCGGAACACCTAATGAAGGATAAGAGTCTAGTTCATTGCAAGTAGCAAGTCTCCTGGCAAAGTCACTTATTTCAATGTCCATCAAGTCATCTATTGAAAGTTTTCTTCATAATCTCAATTTCCATTTATTCTTTCATGTCTAAGTCATATTATTAACAAGCCCAAAGTCATAATGAGGCATGAACTAATCAAATTCAGTAACATATATATAATCTGAGCACAAATCCAAAACAATCATCATGATTGACCAACCTCAATATTAACCACCAATAGTCAATTCCTGCTCCAAATCCCCCATAAAGATGGTATATTAGTGGACAAGCATATTATGATGAAGGTAGTAAAATAATGAACCAAAAGGAAGGTAAAAAAATGCAAGATAAGTTGCTGAATCATAGTCACAATAAAGGAAAATCAAAACAATTAGGCATTTACATTAATAAAGTTCCCTTCAAATAAAGATCAGAGAACAATGATCAAATCAGAAACAAAAAAAACATAAATCTGACAAAAATATAGATAAGGTAAAAGAAAATCTAAGAAGAACTTTATATATATATATATATATATTTAGTTTAAAATCCAAAATGAAAGGCCAAATAACCATAAATAAAAATAACAGTGTATGTAGAGTTGACAGAAAATTTAGATCATTAACCAAAGAATTCGTTAAAGATAGCAATTTAGCAGATTTGATTAAATCAATGAATAAGACATGATTAAATTTGTGTCTAAGCTCAGAAAAACCCAAACTTCACTGTTTGGTTGCTGAGAAAATTAAGGAAAAACCTTGCAAGTTAAATTTTCTAGAATCAAAGCAACAAGAATATCACTCGACTCAATTAATCATAGAAGAAGTAATTGAGCCGACTCTTCTATTGAAAAACTACAAAAAAATACGAAATCTCATTGAATTTTCTTATTTCCTTTTCTTAGCAACCAAACGAAAAATGAACTACGACAGAAAGAAAAAAACAAAACAAAACAAAACAAAAACACAAACATAGCAAATCAAAGCTATAAAAAAGTGATTAATCAACTTACTCTCAGAGCTCAATCACTACAGATCTAGAGTCAAACCCCTGCGAAATTCAACCAAAAAAATAGTTGAACATAAAAAAATATATATAATTTAACAACACATCAAATTGAACATGAATTCTGAAAAAACAAAGAAGGAACTGATACAGAGAAAAATTCAAAAAAAATAAAAAAATAAAGCCATAAATTGATTAGAGAACAGGGGCTAAAATTCCAAAGATGAAATCAAAGAGAGTACCTTCAAGATTCATACCAGTCATATTACTGTAAGAGAAAATATAAGGCAAAGGGGAAAAAAAAAATATAAATGTTAGGGTTTAATGAGAGAAAGAAAAAGAAGGATATACAAACCAATTATTATGAAGAGGCCGGTGATGACGAGAAGCTATGCTCACCGACAATGGTGACGAAAGAAGAGAGGAGATGAGTTGCGCGAAAGTGGGGAAAACTAAGGAAAGTGATGAATCGCACGAAGAAAGTCATTACACTTTGGATTGAGTGATTTGGAGAGAAAGGAAAAGAAATAGAGAGAAATGTATTTCTCTTCCTTGTTTGGTTATCTTAAGTGGAGAGAAATGGAGAGAAATAGAGAGAAATGGAGAGAAACTCATTTCTCTCATAACCTTTATTTTCAATCTTCTTAAAAGTAGAGAGATTGGGAGAGAAAAGAAATCCACAAATGTTTATATTTTCATAATACCAATTTTACCCCTATAAAAATAAAAGAAATAAAATTATTGAAAATATAAAAAGGTTATTTTGGTAATATAACATAAAATAATTTCTTTTCTTTTCTCTTAATGAAATCTAACCAAACAAGAAGGAGAGAAATCACAATCATTTCTTTTCTTTTATTTCTTACTTATCCAAACAAAAAGGAGAGAAATTACAATCATTTCTTTTCTTTTCTCTTATTACTTAAGTAATCATTTCTTTTCTTTTCTCTCCTAAGTTACCAAACATAGCGTTAGAGTTGAGCGTGAAAAGAGAGAGGGAAAATGAAGTCAGAGGTGCCAAAATGAAATAGGGGTTTTTTGGGACATTTGACACAGAGGTAATAAATTGAGGTTGTGTTTGGTTGATTTTCTTTTAAAAAATGTATTTTTGAATTTTTAAAAATTGTTTCATTTTAATTTTTTGGATTTAATTTTCTGAAGTTTAGTTTTTTTATTTTTTGGTTTTGTTTTTAGTGAATTTTTAAAATTTTAAGCAATTTTTTATTTTTATTTTTTTTAGATATACCTTACTTAGATGCATCTAAAAAGTAAAATATTTGTCCAAAAAAATTTTAAAAAATTAAAAAATATACAAAAATACGAAAAATATACTGAATTCTCATATACATATATATATAGTATGTAGTGAATTTTCTAAAGCTTTTTTTTTCACAAATATTATAATTTTAAACTATATTTTTGTTTGGTGTAGCTAAAAATTAAAAATATGCTTAGAATATTCAAAAAAATTTAGTGAAAACAAAAAAACTTAGAAAATAAAAATTTTCAATTTTTCGAAAAGTGCATACTAAGAATTCAAACTAAACAAGCTGGTCATATCATTCGTAAAATTATATAAAATTGACAAGTATGGTAGTTTTATTTTTTCATGAAACTAATTTTTAGTCTTTAAAAAATAAATTTGAATCAAGTTTTTGAAAATCAAACCAAACATGGCCACCACCTCAACTTTGGAAAGAGTTTCGATTCTTTTAATTTGATTATGTCAACTTTGGGTTTTGTGGGCTCATTTTGAAACCGATTTTGGTGATCCGAACCATTCATTTTTTACAATTTATTGACTAGAATATTCATGAAAAAAATCAAGAAAATCTTATATCGGTAATTGTTTGTTTGAAACACATTTAGATGGACAATTTGAGAGAATCCAAACTCCTTTATAAAGTTTTAATAAAAACGCAAGTCATGAAACCATCTTGTTTCACTAACAGAACTTTTCTAAATATTTAACTCTTTGCCCACGCTAACTTATTGTCACCAAAAGTAAACAAACCAATAGCAACGCTTATCGTGTTGCCAAAAAATAACCCTTGTCACTAAAAGTTTCAAAATTTTGGCTCCAACGAATAATTTTGGCACTGGGTGAATGTTATGTTTTTTAGCGACAGTGGTAAATTGCGTCGTTAAAGGTCTACTTTCACGACAAAATTGATCACTGTGTCGCCAAAAATATACTTTTGGCTATGAAAAATTGGCATAGTCGCCAAAAGTAGTTGCCGAAAGTGCAATTTCTTGTAATGAATTGTCGGTGTTGATTTCTGACCTCACAACTAAATAGGGAACTTAGCTAAAGACCATGCTTTAGAATAGATTAGGTTTATGGCCCAAATACCCTTTACTTTAAGTGTAGCCGCAATCATATTAAGTTTAAATCACCATCAAAACTTTTTTTTGAATATATATATTTATCTCTAAAGCTTTTTTTTTTTTTAGGGGGGGAGGGGAATGCAATTCATTGTCGGTTAGGAAATAAAATTACATGTGGAAAATTTTATAAATACTGATAATTAAAATTTTAAATTTTTTTATGTATTTATAAATATGTTTTGAAAAACCTACTAAATTGTAATTCTCTATTTTTTTGGACCTACAAGGATGGAAGGGAGAGGAGGTCAAGGAGGATGGAAGCCATAAATTTGTGGGAAAAGTCATCATGTCCAAAGGATTGTTCCTGCAAGATTTGGAGCAGAGATTGCCACAATTTTTGTGGATAATCTGCCAGCGTCCATGAACCCAAAGGGTCTCTTCAACTTGTTTTCAAAATTTGGAGTAGTAAAAGATGTTTTCATCCCCAGCAAGGTCAGGATATCCACAAGGACAAGATTTGGATTTGTAAGATTTGATTGTACAGTGGCTGCGAAGGTAGCAATCCAAAAAACTGACAGGTTATGGTGTGATGACAAACAAATCAGAGTAAAGATGGCAAAGTATGAGAAAGCTCTGGTGGAAGGTCCAAATGGTGCTGTTGTCAAGGTGCGAAAAGGTACTGCTAATGGTCTTCCCAAAGAGTGTACCAGGGAGCAGAATCATCAATCATCTGATGCTGGAGGTAGGATTTCTTTTGCAGAAGTAGTAGCCATCATGAAGGAAATGCTTATCTATCTTGATGACATTTTTAAGGAGTGGTACGATTCGATTAATGTGAGAACCCGAATATAAAAATTAAGTAAATAATTAAATAATAATATTACAATCTCAAATATTTTAGTAGTGAATCCTAAAGTGCAAATTAAATATTATTGGAGGATCTTTTAATTAATTTTAAACCTAAAATAAATTTATGGTGAAAGTATTTAATTCAGAGGCAAGATTTATTATTTAAAAAAAAATAGAGGGCAAATTAGTAAGCATATTTTGATTTAATAATATTTGTAATTTATTTAAATTAATGGAGAGAGAAAATAAATTAAAACAAAAGATAATATTTTAGTGCCTTTTGTTTAGATATATAATGTAACCTTAGGTTGCCTAAAACAAGAGAGCAGCAGCAGCCTAATACAATTTATACAACAACAGTAGCAGCCACGGGAGAGAAAGAGGTTGAGAGAGAAGAAGAAGAAAAAAAAAAGGGGTTGCAAACAAGAAAGAGGGTTGCAAACAAGGAAGGATTTTTGGGTGTGTGGTAGGTCTTTATCTTTCTTCTTCCTTTTGTTTTTGTTATTTATCCTTACTCTATTATTATTTAGTTCATTAATGGAGAGGTTGTAGGTTTATGTATTTTCCATATAGATATCCTATTAAGAAAATTGAGGAATTAAATTTATCTATAAAGAATGGGAGAAATTCTTAGCTTAAAAAAATTCTGTACAGAACCACAAACTTTAAAAATCAAGAAACCATAACAAACCAATGAATTTTGAACTGAAATTTTTACAGTAGATTAATTACATATTGAATTGAATATCTGAATTTTTTCATAATTTTTGGGAGTCAAAATCCATATAAATTGAGGTATTCAAATCTATCCAGGAAACCAGTACGAATCAGTAACTTTGGAAGTGTTGTTCTCTTTGGGTATAGACCCAAAAATTATCAAATTAGTGCCATTAGGACCGGTTACGAGTCTAGTCTTGTACATTTTTGGCCTTGCATTGATTGCTCATGTATACTAAGAGAACCATTAATTTCTTTAAAGTGCTGCAGAAGACAACCTGTTTAGATAAAATTAATTGTAGATAATTATTTTGATAAGCAAATCAAGTAAAACTGATTGGGTTTGAAACTTAGGATATATTAGCTGATATCCGGAGGGTTTTGGAATTTTTCGAATAGCGTGGAGTGGGTTTTGTAATTTTCAAAATTAGCGAATAGATTGGGAAGTCTTGTTTAAAATTCTGTTTTTTCTTAAAGTTACTTTTAATTAAGTTTCGATTTGAACCCATGCCTTGGGTGATTTTAGACCTTGAAAAACATGAACTTAGGTAATATTTAAGAGTTACGGTGAGTTGGATTGAGCTGTGTTAGTGCGCTTTAGTTTGGGGTTACTTAGCTTCTTATTCTTTAGTATTTTTAAATTAGTAATGACGTGTAGTTTTTATACTTGGTTCAGGGCACTAGTTGGACTTTTATACCCTATTCGAGAATTACATTATTCCATTTTTAGGTTAGTAGTTTCATGCTACATATTCTTATAAATGTTCCCCTACCCTGAACTGTTGGAAAACTAAATTGTTGTTTCAAGACTAAATTGTTTTGATAAATTATTATATTATCAATGGAATCAAATTATTTCTAAAACATGCGTGAGCTTGGCATACTGTAAACTATTTGTTTTGGTCTCATGTTTATAATGGTGAACTACCATGTTTTTTGAAACTGATGTGTATTGATTATTGGGACCATCTGTGTATTTTAGTCCAGGGAAATTATTCTACTGTGTGTGATGACTTTGGCTACTAGGGAACAGATTCGGGTTGGGCCGTGATGACTCTAGTGCTCAACAATTGTAAGGAAAACACCTAGGTTAGGCTAGGTGCCACGACCCCATTCCGCCCCTAGTAGAATGGTGCCGTGATGGCCAGAAATCCGAGATTACCAAAGGCCAACTTACAAGGATTCACACACAATCAGAGTATACATATGGGGCTTACATGTGCGGAAGCAATATAGCACAACAAATAAGGGTATAGAAAATTTCATAAAGCCACAATCCAAAACAATCAAACTATTACATTCCACAAGTCTTGATCTCAATAAAATAAGTACATAATACATCTTGATCAAAAGTCTTCTCAAGCCGACATATACAAAAGAAATGAATTACAAAGCCAAGAAGCATAAACTTCTAGATGCCACAAAATAGGAATCCAAAACATCTTGCAAAACACATCTAGGCATCACCGCTTTCTTGCTCGTCACCTACATATATATAAGGAGAGGGTGAGCTTGGATACTTAGTGAATAATATTAGTAATAAAGGGTTAAATGAATGATATCCAAGATCTTTATCAAAACAATACATATGATA